TATATATATAAAATATAAAATTGTGTATATATAGAATATAAAATTGTGTATCAAAATAATGACCTTCATTGCTTTAGGTGCAGTTTACACTTGCTGCAATTAAGTTATTTGCAGCTAAAGCCCAGCTGCAGTGAAGCTAGGGGTGTATTAGAACATGGCTATTCTAATAAATACAAATTTCATTATCTCTAAATAAATAGCACGACACTGAAGGAATCAGGGGAAAAAAGGGCTAATTTTGAGACACTTGGCTGAATTTGAAAACTTTGTAATATGCAATATGGAGCATTTGTTAGGTTTGATTTATAAATCATTGAAGTGTGACTCAGAACCCAAAGAAGTCAAAGATTAAATGGATGCACAATTTGAATGTAGTAACAGAGGTGCAATGATGAGATTTTCAGAGGAAGAATACTAAATTTACTCCAAATATTAAACTTAAGAGAAAATCAGTATGTTTTATTGTCAGTGTATCACTCCAGTTTTGATTGCTAAAATGAGTAATTCGCTTTCTAAAAATTGTTGGAAAAGTAATAAGCAAGTTGGATCACTTTTTCATATTAGGTTACAATGTTGTAAAGCTCAAGAATTTTGGAAAATGATTCATACTTGAATGCAACACATTTTAAAAGCTGAATTTATATATTGTTTAGTAAAATCACAGGCTGAAAGGGAAATTCCAAAAAGCACCGCGCCAGGTATCCCTGCCGCCGGCCAGGCTCCAACCGGGCCTCGGGGCTCTCCACCTCGCACCCCTCACGAGGTCGCCACTCCGCCCCCACAAGCGGAGGGGCTGGAGGCGCCTTCTTTTCACGAGCCCGGAGGCTCTGACGCTCAGTTCTCGCGGAAGGCGGAACTCTCTCGCGCGCTGCACACGGCTCCGCGGGGAGAAGAGCGGCGAGACCCCCGTCAGCCGAAGCCACTTTATGGAGCATCAGGGCGCCCCTCCCGTCCGCGAGCTTCCAAGGCGCAGATCACGTGGGCAGCGTCAGCTGACGGGCGCCATCGCCGCGGCTTCGGAGAGGGAGCTTCCTCAGAGGAGGGATGTCTTCGCCGGCCTCGTCCTCCTCCGCCTCTGAGGCGGAGGCCCCCTCC